CATTGTTTCCTTTTCGTGTGATTTTATAAAATATATATATATATATATATATATATATATATATATATATATATATATATATATATATATATATATATATATATATATATATATATATATATATATATATATATATATATATATATATATATATATATATATATATATATATATATATATATATATATATATATATATATATATATATATATATATATATATATATATATATATATATATATATATATATATATATCTCACAATACAATAAATGAACCTCAAATTAACATAACATGTCATTAATGTGGACACTAAAAAAGGGTCCTGAATGATAATGCTACAAAAAACAGAATGGCTAATAAAAAAATCTTTAAAGACGATTTTAGTAAAGTCATATCAGTAAATAACGTTCCTGATGCTCAAGGAAACATACAACATGGCAAAAAGGATACAAAGAAAAAAATAAAATAAAATAAAATAAAAATACACAAATGAAAATTACACAAACAGAAAAAAGCTTACAGAGAGAGAGCGAGGAGTTAGAACTAACATAAGGCAGCAACAACCAGCACAGCATCAAACATTCTCCTTCTCCTCCGCCTCTAATCTTCAAACATTTCTCAGTTCACGAGTTTTTAAATTAACTTCACCACATCTGACCTCATGATATTAGTGGTCATTCGCGACTGTCACAGTGAGGTACAGTATACCATATACATCAAGCAAAATATTTAGGCTGTATTTTAAGCATAGTATATAGGAATGGCAACAACCAGCCATAAATAACAGGGTTATTTTTACACAGCCTCTCCAAACATAGATCAATATAATTTGTCAATATTTGTATTATAAAATTCAGTTAAATCATAAAAAAAAAAAATCATCTCATCAACTGCACAATAATATGGGCTTAAAAGGAATGCTCAGGAACTGTCTCAAAATGCACAAAATATTTGGTGTTCAAGCAATTTTAAGTCAAGTTGAATGCTTGCTGCTACTCACCTTTGTCCTCTCCTTCAGTTCCTACACGAGAATAAGAAGCAAGATGTCTAGCTTTAGTGAGTGGAAACAACATTCCAAAATATTTGGTTAACAATAATAACTCACAGCTGATACTGTATATTGCATTAGGTTTCTGTCACCTGATGTAAAAGTTATTTGCAAGTCTTTTAACAGCTTACAAATTCAAGTCCACATGTGGTTTATTATTGTCTTCAATATCCACAAGAAAAATAAGACTTAATGGTCCACTACAGGTCTAACAATGAACTGATATAATCTGGGGACATTTCTATTCCATAAAACTTATTGTGTTTTATTTTGCATGGACTGGTAAGGCAAATTTAATGCCTAATTAATAATGAATTAGGTTTTTGAAATTTCTTTATAACTTTTTATTCCAGCTGGTATGTGGAGACCATCAGCTTATGCATTTAGAGTATCCTATTCTATTCAATGTACAATGTATCATGCAGACTGGCATGCAAAGCTGCTACAATGTTGCTTCGCCCAGAATATAAGCCAACTAATATATTCTTCTAGCAGAAATTTTACAAGACGTTTGACTTAAGAAAAATAATAACAGTAGAATACTATCAATATCATTAATACTTAGATGATTTGAATGTGGAGCGTGCTTACTTGTTCTCTTAATTCTAAAAATAATTTTCTCAAAAATAAAATGCATTGTTACAAAATGAACCCAGCAAATAAGACTGAGAGATAGATTTTACACACTTCTTGCATCAACAGATTCAACAGATACTACAGCAAATTACAGCCTTACACAAACCCCAAGGCTATGGCAACACAAACTATCAAATATGCACAGAACATCATCTACCCCTGCCTGTGAATCAACACTTTCTAAGGATCTCTATTAGCAAAGATAACAAGGTGAAACATAATGGTGTGGTTCAAAGGATATTCCTCTTTTACTATAATAATCTAAATATAACGGTTTGGCCCTGAAAAAGTGTTTCATTGCAGAGCCATTGAGGGACGACTCCAGTATAATGCCCATCAAATCCTATGGGCATAGGCACAGGGAACTTTAAAGAGACTGGAGCTAACCCAAAGGTTAGTCAACTCACCCAAAGTGACCCTAACCCAAAAAAGGGATGTAAGGAGGACTTATTACCACTTAAGGATGGGAGCTGACAAATTGTGAAGCTGGCCAGCTGTTACAAAACCTATTCATCATCTGAATGACCCTGTCATAAGGCAGGGTTACAGCATCAAACCTCACTTCCAGCAAAATTCCTAAGACATCCTGAAGAGGGTGAATAGGATCCAATTTATCCCTCCCTGACTTGGTTATAAAATAGGTATTCAGGATCAAGCCATTTTCATAACCTGACATCAGTTAGAAATGACTCGTGTACCAGAAAGAAGCTGTGAAAAGGTGAGAGGTAAACAGAAGCTCCAAACTCTGTACAAGTTGCACCTCAAAATGGAAGTTGACTCTGTAACAATGCACTAAGTAATAAGATATGGCATTCACACTCCCTGTGAAATGCTGCTCTCGTGTTATCCTGGTCATCACGCAACCATTATCTATTCCAACACTTAAATGTTAAGTCTATTGGGTCCACAGGAAAATTTATCAAGTAAGTCATCAGAAACACTCGAACAAGATACCAATTAATAGAAGACAATATTAACCATGAATTCCAGACCAGAACAACCCAAACAAATCTAACCTACACAAGACAGTACATCCAATGTTTGGATTTTCTATGAATAGCTCTCCCATGTTTTCTACACTAACACAGAAAAAGTGCATAGTAAGACTTATAAAGGAGATATAAGTTCCATGTACTATCAAACCCAAATAGTGAACAACAGAGAGTACCCCCTAACTATTTCTGGAGTCATGCTACCCAATCCTAGCATGTAGCCCGCTAGGAGAAAAATCCAATAGTTAAAACTGACTGCCATGTGGGTTGTGGATACAGAACACTAGATACTACAGCTCCCATTTATCAATTCACCAACTGCCACCTGATTTGGTTGTTAACACAGACAAACACTTGTAAAATGAAAAAAGCAGGGAAAATCCAACGACACTAAGAATTTTATAACCCTTGAAGAGCAATAAGGAAATTCAATCCCTGTTAAGTTAGGAAATAAGCTATACCTCCTGATTACATGTAAGCATTATTTCTGCACATGCCATAATTATGGGAGAAAGCAAAATGAAGTCTGAATTCTATGAACTCATTCAACTTCAATTACGGTTCAATTCATCTTCAAGTTAGCAAAGTTCATTTAAGATACAAAGTTAAAAAAAATATAAGCTTCTAAAAGAGGATTCAGAATAAAATATCCCTTAATTAATTACAAAATTAAAAATGAATATACTGTAAACTAGCTTTATAGCCAAAGCTAAAGCCACTGTTAGGTTACCACATGTTTAATACAAGGTACTTCTGTTTTCAAGTAAGTGCCAAGAAGAGAAAATGTGAATGATCAGATATCCTTTTCTTTATTGTAAAAATCAGAGCTTTCTTGTTCTGATTCATCAATATAAACCTTGTTAACTGAAAATAACTTTAGTTTTGGGAAATGTTGGAATTCAAGGAGGATGGAGTGGTGTAACATACACACTTGCTAATTCCTACAGCCCCTTTATTTTACAGGGATAAACTGTTGAACAATAGACTTGGGATAAATTAATATACTGTAATGCCCATATCTTGAATAATCTGTTAGTGCTACTTTAACCATAGTACAGTACAGTATACCCCTTAATCTCAACAAGACTGGTGCATATCTCTGAATCTCAGATCTTCCTATTAACTCCCGGTTATTAACTAATGAAAAGTAACTTTCTCAATTACACAGGAAACAGAAATTCCAATTTAAGCAATATCATGGTTGCATCCAGAAACTATAATATATACCAACAACCTGTTCACTTGAAACCCTGTCATTTTTTAGGGTTCATATACTGTACATCAAAATACTCTAAAGCTTCTTAAACAATAAAATGAAATAAACTTTATCAATTTTACTGTTGTCATTATTGCACTACAACTAATTTTGTTAAAAATTTCAACACTCCGATGTTAGTTGAACTGACAAGACTGTTAGAAGATATAAGATTGTTATGGGGACTACTTACGCAGTGATGCTCCAGAGCCCACCTTCAGTCTCTGGGACTGGGCATACTGTGAACGAGCTTGTGCACGCCTGGCGGCCTGCAGATCAATGGCACTGTTGGACCGGAAGTTGTTCGTTGGAGTGAGGGAAGGGGCGGGGGAATCTGGGGAATCTTGTGGGCGGTGAGAGGCAGGGGTAGGGATAGCGGATCGCCGAGTGCTACTGTGGGACAGCCTTGATGATGGTCCTGAAAGATTTTCCGTACTTCCAGTTGTTGATGAGGATCGTGACCACCCTTGACGTGTGCCAGCTGTTGACATGAGACCAGCGAAGAACACGCACACAGTCCACGACAGCGTATGCGCAACATCCAGGCACACACACAAGCCACAGAAGTGGTGTAGTTCAGGTGGGAAGGAATGGGGGAAGCAAGCAAAGGCCAAGCATCAGCTGTGTGTCAAATGCTTGCCAGTTGTAAACACTAATGTACTAATAACACAACCCCAATAAATCAATTCATACAAAAATCATGAAAAAACTACAGAACGCACACATGCGTAGAATGAAGTACTAACAATAAATAAAAATTCTATAAATGTGTCATAACTCATAACCCTACCCAAATATTATGTTATGTACACACACATGCAAAAAATAAAAATCGTTCAATGCTAAGTGAGTCCTGCAGCAAAATTTATGTATGCAACTAAATAAACTTGCATTCATTGAACAAAAGACTACCACAATAATGTTTTTCATAACCAATCTTAATGAGCCTTTCCTTGCACAACTGAAGATTAAAGAAGTTGAAAAAAAGAAAAGAAAAGAACGTACATTAATGCCTATTGAGAAGCATTACAAAATTTTATGCATATGAGTAACATTAATGAACTATTACCTTTTACATAAACTGTGCTTGAAATTAATATATGCTATTTTCATATACTGTAGTTTGATACAGGTCGAATATTCAATATCCTTAAATAAAATATAAATTGCTGCAAGAATCTCTACTTCCAGTAGTTTAAAGAATGAATGTTTTACTGCAAATATCTCCCTACCTTAACCTGTGTTATTTACCATTACTTACCTTGAAGAAAGGCAATAATAGAAGAAAAACTTCTAAAATGGTGTAATACCTTATAAATCAAACTTTCTATGCCCTAGATACTGCACATTGCAAGATGAGCCTGTGTGAGCCCTAGAAAAGTCGCATCAAATCACTGGTGTTTCCACCAAGCTGAATCATTAATTTCAAATACATACAGTATTATGGCCATAACATAAAATACATCCACCAAGTACTCTATGTTCAGAGTATGTACCGGTAACTGTAAATAATTGCAAATTGATGTTAAAATGATGCGATTTTTCCATTCTCCCATAATGATTTATTTTTCCAACTACCAGTACAGAAAACCAAACCTTATGGGAAGACTAATTTTTGACTCAATTGGCAATCTTGTCATGTGAGAGGGCAGCTAATTCATACCTGATTTACTATGGGAGTTGTGCAGTGACTGTGATGAAGAGGAGTTAGACATAGTACTTATTTCACCCTGGAGCATCTTCTTGTAGCTTGGGTCAAGGGAGTTCAGCAATTTGTCTGCCTCATCCTTGAAATGGTCCGCAAAGCCCCAATATGCTCTGTAAGATTATATGTAGATAAAATTTCATTCAGATATTTCTATATGCATACCCATGAAAATTAAAGAAATAACAAATGGAATAACTGGACAAATTAATATATACAAGTACTGTACAGTATACTTGCAGAGGTAAATTGTTTCTAAAAAAAACATTGGCATATGTACAAAAAATACTTAATACTGTATTAAACAAGGAAAAAAACTGCTACAAAGAGTATATTTTAAGACACTGTTACAGAAAATATTAATGAACAGAAAGCACATAAAAGCAAGGTGGTTTTTGCCTTTAAAGTGGAACGGAGGACATGAAATCTAGATGGACTAACAAAACAGGTATACATTCTGGAACTCACTTTCTTGAGAAAGCTCGAGCTTCTGGGTCTGCATCTGTAATTCCTCTCTTTATGCTGTCAGCAAGATTTGCAACATGCTTCTCCATAGAGTGCGTGGGCCATGTATGTACAAGTTGATCTAACACCTCAAACAACACTTTTCGGATCTCTCTGTTCTTGCTGGCCAAATCTCGTAAAAGAATGGGGATCAATTTGTGGTGGTGAGTGTTTTGTATGATAAACCTAATTGTGACAATACCAGATGATGCCATTACCTGAAAAAATACAATATCTTCTTAGATTTTGGGAATAATGATAATATGTAGCTTTTTATTAGTAATTTCTAACTTCTTATTATAAATGGTCAGTGCTAATTACAATATATATATATATATATATATATATATATATATATATATATATATATATATATATATATATATATATATATATATATATATATATATATATATATATATATATATATATATATATATATATATATATATATATATATATATATATATATATATATATATATATATATATATATATATATATATTTTATTTTATTTTTTTTTTTTTTTGTTATACATTACTTACCTTAGCACTATTAGGTATTAAATTAATAAGACTTGGCAGGAGAGTTTCACACAAATGATCAACTTTATGATGCAGTTCTTGAGACATATATGCCACAGTGATACAAGCTTCTCGTACCACCTGTGACCTGTAAAGGAAGAAGTGCTACCTGTTAGTAACTACATACACTGCAATATTTAGGACATGTATACATACTTTAATAAATTACAGTAATAGTACTAATACTAATGAGAGAGAAATTCTGTACAAAGTACAGTAACTTCCTTTAAGGAGTGTTGAGTACCGTATATACTCGTGTGTAGTTCAAGTTTTTAAGACCAAATTTTTAGGCAAAAAATTGGGGGTCGACCTCTACATGCGTAATAGTTTTGTTAGGTTGAACCCATGCATGATGCGAAGGGCGAGGAGCAACTTTTAGCTTCAGACATGAAAAATATTTACCATTTACCGCCAGTAAACAATGGAAATGTAAAATATGTACCAATTAGTAATGAAAAGTTGTGCAGTTCCTTCAGCAAATGAAGCTCACCAACTTACAATCGGCTAAATTACCTTACAATGTGCTTTCAGTAGTCTATGTTGAAGTTCTTAGCACAGGCTAACTTATCATATCATATACGGTATCACAGTTCTCATTGATCTACAAAAAATACCGGTAATAAAAACCTTTTCGATATTTCACACTTAATATAATACCCGGTAATCTACTTCAACCTCCTATTGTTTACAACGACGTATGACGCACCACCAGCTGTTGCGTATCAGCTAGACGGTACACGTGTTTTTCGAATCGTTTTCAGTAAAAAAACTGTTACATCACATGTACAGTGGGGTATGCTATAACGAACGGATCCTACTACGAATATTCCTATAACGAACGGTTTTACCTATAGAATTGAGAATGCTATAATGAACGAAACTCCTACAACGAACATTATTTAAAAAAAAATTTTTTTTTTTTTACTAATTTATTGTTTTTGTATTACAAGTATTAATGATATTCTTCATTTCAGGGGTTTAGATGCATATTTATGCACTTTTTACAATTTTTACAATTTTATATTATATTTTTCAGTGTTAAGTGGTTGCATTTGGGGGCCTGGAACGGATTAATCCTATAACGAACGAATGCTATAACGAACAAGGTTCTAGAACCAATTAGATTCGTTATAGCATACCCCACTGTATATTTTACCTTAACTGTGCCTGAATGAATATATTCTCGGAAATAAATACAGTAGTAGTTTTGCTGAAACGTGATGTATTTTAATGTAAAATAGGATAAAATACATGACGAAAACAAAAGACTTTACCTAACCTTCCGATGTTCAAGAGAAGTTACTCGTTTTTTTAATAGTTTTTGGTTAAAATACTGTTATATTACAATGGTATTCTATTCATACTGTGCTTGATATAATGCATTCACGGAAATGTAATATTTTTGCAGAAATGACGTACGTATTACAGTGGAAAGTGGGATAAAATCGTGACGAAAACAATGACTTTCGCTTTCTTTCGTTCAAAAGATGTTACCGTAATCGCTTTTCGAATGGTTTAGTTAAAAAACTGTTGTAGTATTACAATAATATTTCCTCCTAATTGACTTGTATAAATACTTGAATGGAAATATACAATATTTTTGTTGAAACTACCCGCGTTTCAGTGTAAAGTGTCGTAATAATATATGGTAAACAATTTGCCTTCGGCACTCCGTGTTTCAGGCACGGCGAGCCTCAGTTTATAGGACGTAGAGTGTTTTTACTGAAGGTTTTGTTGTTCCATTACCCTCAAAAACGTGGGTCGACCTATAAACAAGGAATATTATAAATTAACGCTTTCTTGGTCAAAAAATCAGGGTCGACCTATAAACGAGGGGGGGGGGGTTATAGACGAGTATATACGGTATATAAAATGATAAAAGTATACCTGCATAATTTATAGAATTTAAAAGAACTTTTTCATTTATATACCTGAGGTCTTTGACACACAACTGCATGGCAGGTTCTAGTAGGCGGAGATGGGGATAGAACTCTTCATAACTAGGGGCACCGGCAATTAACACACTTCGTAATTTCTTCAGCTGTATCAAGAATGGAAAAATAATTACCATTTCCTATAAGACTTACAGTAGAGTATTTACCAACTTACAAGAGTACATCAACTGATTCACAAGCTGCCACACTAATTTCTCCAAAGCTCAAAGGAGTATTAACCATAGAACTGATAACTGAATTTCACACAATACAGTACTGTACAGTATCTAGAAACCCAAATGTGAAACCTTATCCACAATTACCAGGTATATGGCACTACATTTCCATTTAGGCTTTGCCAGATGTAAAGATGCACTTGTTTATGCTGTGGGTAGTGTTCATAGAAAAGGCTTGTAGTGAATTAGTGAAACTGGAATAAATGAAGAAATTTTTCATGTACCTAATTTGAGTAATATATTCACACTACTGAATAGTTATTTGCTAACTTCATCATCATTAACATTTTATGGCCATTTTCCACACCTGTGTGAGTTGGTCATGATTACCCGATGGCAGTTGTTGGGTAAAACCACCAGGGAATGGACACAGCTCTAGGCCATCAGGCATGTTGAAGCAAAGTTTTATGGCTGGATGCCTTCCTAACACTAATCTATAGAGTGAGAACAGTTGCCAAGGCAGAGTTGCAACTACTTTAAGTAATGAGAGACAAAACACCTACCTCAACATTACAGCCTGTACTGTATATTAGTAATTGTGAAATGCAGGGCAAAACAGAAAGGGAATAGAATTTTAATAGATAATGTTCTGGCATGACTCTATACAGTGAGTTCTGCTATAACGCGTGTTTTGATAACGCGAATTTGCTCTTACGCGATTTATGAATTCGGAACAATATTTGTATAACGCGAACGCCTGTTTGCTATAACGCGATTTTTGCTTACTATTTCTCCAATTTTGTGGTATTAACTGTGATTATGGTAAAGAAGAATATCTCCAAAAAGCGTTCTGATGATAGAATTCCCGGTGATTATCGTAAAAGAAAGGATATAACACTTGAAGAGAAGCTCGATGTTATCAACCTCAAAATCACCCTTCTCCCCCATCAAGTTACATTCATATTTTTTCAAGGTAAAGTGTTACATTTACTGTATGATTTCATTATTAGATATGAATGTAACATTTATTTAGACTGTGCTATCCTTTGTGTTAGGCTAACTACTAAATTTTTTCGATTTCGAGTAATCTGCACCTAACCCTATTTTCTCCATAAGCCCTGTTATTTCTATTACGCGATTTTCTATAACACGATATTTTACAAGAACACAATTATCGCGTTATAGCAGAACTACCTGTACTGGCAATGATGCTTAGATGATGAGCCCCTGTAATATACAGTACAGTATATTGTTATATCATGACAATTCTCACAATATGAATATACTGTATATTTACAGTACAATAATTAAGCAGTTCACATTAAAAAAAAAAATTATATATATATATATATATATATATATATATATATATATATATATATATATATATATATATATATATATATATATATATATATATATATATATATATATATATATATATATATATATATATATATATATATATATATATATATATTTTTTTTTTTTTTTTTTTTTTTTTTAAATAAGAAAATGAGGTAAAGATATGAAAATAGGATGTAATTATTAGAAAAAAAGTATGGGGGCAGCATCAGTAAATAGGGGTAATTTGATTAAATTCTTGTGAATGATCTCACAATGTTTCATTTTTTAACAATTTTTTTTTTTAAACTTCATGACGATGTACAGGGTAACTGTTTTCAAAGTTTATACAGCATTTGTTTGAAATAAAAAAATAAGGTTGAAATTAAAAGTACTCTATGGTTTTCACAAATTTGGAAATTACAATTGCAATTTATTGCAATATAATTTTTATGACCAAAGCATTCAAATTTTTAGCAACATGCTTCCTTTTCCTCGTAGTGTTATGTTCTGATGAAGAAAAGAAGAAAGTCACATACTGTTTATATATCGTACTTTCTATTGTTCTATACTGTAACAAAATTCATATTGTTATTAACTCACAGTCTCTACTCTTTTGTCCCAATCACTGTTCGGGCTCGAAATGATCTCCCGAATTTTAGTTAGAGTATCCTCCAGTTCTCGAGTTGAGTAAATGGTGACCTTTGGAGCATCCTCAAATGAGGCAAAAAATGATGCTTCATCAACAGCACCTGCTGCAGCTGCAATCACAGGTAAAAATGTAGTACTTCCTTCTGCACTAAAATATGATATTATATAATATAATATAAAGTATACAAAGAGAGAGAGTGGGTGGGTGGGTGTGTGTTCTACAAAATCAGTAAAATACATTTTGTTAAACCAGTAATCAAAATCTTCAATGCAGTTTACTACATTTGATACATAAAATTTCATGATTTTGTACCCTGAAAGTTTAATGTTACAATACAAGATGATACATTAAATCCTCATTTTAACAAATTCTTCTTATATAAAGTAATTTTCAATAAAACTTAAATTATATCACTTCAGTTACCATACAGCTCTAGTGTCATGTACTGTATTAGGATAAAATAGAGGACAGAACTTTGATATCTCTTAACTACTTGAGTGGGTATAAAATGTTATGCATTTCAAGTTGCTCTCTAAGAGGAGCAATTCAGTACACTATAGGAGATGAAACAACCCACCAATAAGCACAAGTTTTTGTTAGTACCTGTATTAGAGGATGAGGAACCTATTCTCCCTCGACTGATGGATGGTACTCGCTTGACTGTAGTTCGTGGGCCCCCACCACCACTCTCCCCTGCTTTATCCATAAAAGCCCAACACAGTCAACATGCACACAGGGCAGAGGGAGCAGTGGGAGAGGACAACATAACAAGGGTTAGTACAGCACTCAACACAATTTTGTTTTATCAATACCTTCCTGCATATCATAACTGTACTTCAAACTGAGCAAGAAAGTGCTAAAGATGCTGTATTTTTATTTTATTTTATTTTCTTTTGCAGAGTTACCATTCAAGAAGTAAATGAAAAGGGTTGAAAAGATTCCTTTGAGGTTATACTGAGCTGGCAAACAGGAAAAACGTTGAAATTCTGCATAGTGTCTAAAGCACAAAGTCAAAACAGCCTCAAGTATTTTAATGATAAAACTGCACATACAAAACTAACTTTTCCGTACCATCAAAGTGATCATTGGAGTCACTAGATTTGTCTTAATACTGTACTGTAGTGACTCTTCACAATGCAAAATACTTTATGCCTGTTTTTAGGCTACATATTTAATTCAGCTGTACATCAATGTGAAGCCATAATAATTTCATGGAGATGTTATAAGAAAATCTAAAAGAAGCACTAAATTACAATGGGCTGAGGTAAGAGGCATCATTCAGCAACATTCTAACCAAATAGTACCGGTAACTCACGTGCATGCTGTATGTGCATTCACTGACTATTAAACACTATACTGTACCAGATATGTACATGTTTGGCCTACAGTATTTTAAATTGGTACAACTTCAAACTTGAACAAGACTACAGTATATCATGAGGAATGTATCCTACCTACCTTTGGGTTGTCTATCCCATTGATTGATTGATACATTCATTGAGATACAAAAAAAATACATCTCAAAGGGATGAAGTGACATAAGTGATCCCCACCACAGTCCAGGAATGTGCCTCTCAGGACTCATATAAATCCCTGATATAGATATACTGTATCTCATACAGTCAATTATACTACACAGTTATATTCTACACCTGTAGATGCTAGATGGACGATGTAATTTGAATCTTGTACAGCAGAAAACATTAAAATATGAATACCCTGTACTTGTAATACTGAATTACTTGATGTTCATAAACATCTTCAAATATGCAAACAACAACAAATTATAACAAACTAAGTTATTTCACCTGATAAAGATTAAACATTAAAACAATCATCAGTACTGTACCTAATATCATCTGCAATGGGTAGTGTAAATTTCAATCTATCAACATAATGTATGTAAATTAAATGTTAACCTATTACCATTAATTCATTAACTTACAGAAAAAAAATTATTATAGTATGTTTTGTTTTTGTAAAATGGTGATCTTATAAAGAGCTTCTAATATCATAAGTATGATGTGGAATATCTCACTACTCAGTTTAACACACGTCACACATTTTAGTATCAACCAGCTGTCAACGAGTTAGTTTGGTGCATCATGCAAAATCACAGAGTAGGTTTACCTCCAGTACTTTTGGGTGGGAGAGCAGCACCCAGGACGGATCTTCTGACGGGTGGAGCACTGCTGGCTCGTGACTTGCTGCCCCCTGACTTGACCTGCAAATCGTACAAATCCATTAACTGAATATTTCTGAAGGTGTGTAATATTATAAGACTAAAGGATAATTAAGAGATGCAGATACTGCATTCATCTCTATATACAGTATCATTTGTGTGGGAGACTCAAAATGTGAAATAAATCTCAACAATACAAAACATATTTTTTCCTAAAATTATTTTTCAAAATGATGTACAGTAATATGATTAAATCATTGAGTCTTTAAGGGGACTGGATATGGTTTATCAAACTATAACAAATGTACCAAGAAAAAGTAACAGGTTTCTGTAGAACTGGCAGAATCATATCCTTATCCAGGAATCAATGGTTACAACTACAGTACAGTATTCCTGTAAGCCACTGTGGTTATACACACACACACACATATAATTTGAAGCACAACCCACTGTCTTTGCTTGGGTGGGTAAAGAAAAGTCAGCAAGCACAAATATAACAAAAGCCGCTACTGCTGTCTTTTTCTTTCCATTCAAAATCAGTCTTTGATGATGATAGTGTTTTTACCGAGATCCAAAAACAGGCATAATACATGAAGCAATATGCACTTCATGATTAAAAAAAAAAAGGGGCATATATATCTGGTTAGCACACTAGGCTTAGTACTGTACACAGAAAGCATCAATATTAAACAACATAGAAATAAAGTACAGTACTGTACATACAGTATTGTACAATACTGTACAGTGTTTCATCACTTACAGCAACATGTTTTGCAGTTTTCCACAGAACACTGCCTCAACCCTTTTTCTGACAGTGGCATTAAAATTCAAACAGCAGTTCAAAGCATTATAAGATTTCCTTCAAACCAAATTACACATTTACTTAGTAATACACCATCACTGGTGTTGAAGCATTCAGTACTTTATTTATGCAAAGCAACAACCATGGTATCAAAACATTCTTCAGCATTTGCATAAGCTGTTGATTGTCCTTGCCATGTGCTTAAAATTTCTTAAAGTATCATGCCCGATAAATGTATGTTAACTATAATCAATTCCTGGCTATTATAAAATGGTTCTTGATGTTTATGAACACAAAAATTACATGGTATCTTTTCATCCACTGCAATTATGAAGAAAAAAAATTTCCGAGTACAGTACAGTATATGGAGCTGTAAAGCTCACTACGTCAGATGTACTAGAAAAATAAGTCCCCAAGCTCATATCATTGCTAAATACAGTACTGTAGTCCATTTGGATTCTACCCAAAATGAGAGAAAAACACTAGAACATGACAGAGAACAAATACTGGTTGGACCACAGGGTCACCATCCTCACATGATTACCTCAGGGATACCCTATACTCAGTCCTTTGTTTACTGGCATCCTGCACACATAATGGTCTAAGGAATTTGCAATTTGACACTAATTGTGTGGGGGTTTTTTCATGCAGTGTACAGTACTCCTTACTTTATTACCATGGCAAATGCTAGTGGCGATGAAGACCAAAACATGTGAATAAGCATAAAAGCATTGCTGATTAACTGAATATTGTATAATAGAATCTCTGACTTGAATTTGGTCATGAGTACAACCTAATGTGTAACTCGACATAACTATACCTGGTCCTTTCATTCCCTAAGCCACGCCTTGGGAGGGTGTAAAAAAAGTTAGCTTGCTTAAAGTTTTTACAGTACAGTATTATCTGTTGGAGTTGTATCATTGCATTTTATTTTAAAATTTAAAGGAACATGGATGAAAAGATATTGTAAATGGTCACAACACGGCCATACCTGTACATTCACAATTAAGGTGTCTTAAATGGTATTACTGTACAGTACAAGTATTGTGTACCAAGGGAAACAGTCCCTTGCATAAAACTACATTCGGTTTAGAGGGATTTACCGTATAATAATCAATTCACGATTATATTGATATACTGTATAACGTAATACTAAACCAAAAATAAAATGACAGTACAGTAGTAACAATAATATCAGGAACTATAACATTAACAGTAATGATTAAATTATAATAATAATATCTACTGAAATAATGATGAGTTTAATAATAATAAATATTGTAAATTAATCAGAACACCTGAAGCCATAAGAAGTGTTTGCTAATATCACGACTACTACCGTTAAGATATTACGTCATAATTATAATAATAATAACATAATGACAATAGTTTATCATTGTTATCACTCTTAGTTGACTATTTTCTATAGTAAAATTTTAACATGTACACTGTATTCTTGTTATTTTTGGTCAAAAATGTCAAGTTGCACTGAATGAAAACCTTATTTATCTACATCTCTGAATCTCCCCCCACAAAATTATGATCAATTTACTTGGAATCAGCTCCTTTAAATCAACTGAAATTCTTCTAATGCACAAAAACTATTATTGCATTACTTAAAGTACCAGATACAAGAAACTATAATACACTAGGAAACCAATACACCGTACTTGTTATCTGTGGTTGGTGGAGGGTGAGCAGGGTTTCTTATACGACTGACATGACTATACGAATATAGCTGTATTGTGAATACTACATATTTTATAACATTTAGTAAGGTAATAAAGCTAGAGTTGTTTAAGCTCAGTCCAATCTGAGGCACCATCAACAGTCTCCATCACACCACACACTCTTACAAGTACCCAACAATTCTGCTACACAACTTCAACAAATGCAGTCAGGTAACACACACGAACCAATCATCTGCCCAACGTTCGTTCTCTGATACAGCACCTCATCCAATCGGCACAACACCAATCTTTCTACCCCATACCTTACACTAGCAATAAACACGTCCACGATCGTTATACCTGTTCTATGCCTCACTCTCACCCACCATCACCTCTCAACACACCCAAACAGCATATTCCTGCTATGACCGTGATCACACACAACTACTGCACACCCACTATCACCCCAACACTAGAGGTGGATCCAGGAGAAAGGGGTGGTCCTGGGGGGTCCACCCCTTTTCCATCAAAAATTTTCAATATTTTTTCTTTAATGCAGTATTGTACTCAGGCGTCTTTTTATAGTAAAAAGTAATTATTATTGCCCTCAGAATATCTCCTAATACCAAGTGCACATGGCTTCAATATGACCTTAAAATGCCCATGACACTGGAGAGATTTAAAAACAAATTCTGGGGGCCCCCAAACTCCCCAGCTGGGTGGACTCTCTTTGCTCGCTATGTTCCCACCCCCCTTTTTTTTATTTTCCTGGATCCACTCCTGTTACTGTTATCCCTAATCATCCACCATCACATATTTATACCATAACTACAAACACAATGTACTCATGATCCCACCAACACCCTTAATCATCACATAATATATCCTTTCCATGGTCACACACACTACAACATCACCCGACACAAACCCAGCCGGACTACCTTGGCGGTGGCTCCCGTGGTGGCCAGGAGCTGCGTGCAGGAGAGACAGGGAAGGTCAGCATCACGTGTTACTATCAAAATCCATGTCAAATGGACCTACACAGAGTAAATAATCCCGTGCATGCAGGTTTTCATTGCCGGTGGTTATTTTGTTCCCTAAAATAATCCAAATTTATTTAATTTTCATAACCTATGTCAACACAGACGTAGTTTTTTTTTCTGGCTGACCAAACCTAACCAATAGCATGCACCTACAGTACATTATAACTATGCAGCTTGACAACCAAGCATTGAATGCAAAATTTCTTCCACTGAAATAAGGAGGGTTGTAAAACCATCCACATGCACTTGAAGATGAGACAAAAGAACAATGATCAACAAGACTGCTCACCATGCACATACTTGCCTCACCATGCTAAACCAGACTTCTGGTATAATTAAAAAAATAAACTACCTTGCCCGTCGCTCCTCTGTGTACGAATGGCTGGGCACAGAAAATGGGAAGAAGGTCAGGCAAAGGAGCCTGGAGCATTGGCTTGAGGAAATTAGTTATTTTAGTATTAAGCCACGATAAACTTTGTAAAGGACAAAAGCAGAGATCATACCGGTAAAATAAAACTCATAAGTGGCATTCTTACCGACATATAAACCATGCACAATGTTATATGACATACATTATTTATGATAACGTGATGGTGTAAATGGGGTGATGTACGGGAGTCATTGAGCACCTTAACTTGTTGTAGTTGTAACTAAATTTTTTTTTTTTTTTTTGCGACCAACATGAGATTAATCAATGTGGAATTACTTCAAACTGTTAAACTTACAGGTGTAAACATCGTTTTGAACTAAACAACAAATTAACGTTGTCAGTCATCCACAAGATATGATAAGAATCCTACGGTATCTTCAAAGACGATGATAAGCGATATGAGGATGCATAACCCAGCGAAAGTTCTTCAACCTGGGACATAATTACCCAAGGTTAACAGTCTATATGTATGGAGGTGTCCGAAAATAATAACAGCAGCGTTTGTAAGCAAATAAATGATAATACAGTACAAGAAAAATACACTTTAAACATAATTAATAAATTGGAAGCACATTAAAAGCTTATTTTAAACTAAATTCTCCCTACTTCAATAACATATAATTTATTCTTATAATAAAATCATAACTAAAATCCAGTGTGATTTTATAAAGATAACCATTAAAACAGAAGTATCAGATTCCTACTACAGTACTGTAATTAGTCATACATTTGTTAACACTACAGTAGGTTTGTATTAACTTTAATATTAACTTATGTTATTTTTCTTTAATTGTTCTCTAATTGTCCCTTCTTAATAACTTTACAATCTAATTTTAAAAACTGTTAATGAATCCGAGCAACAATCTTGTAAGCTTACCATACCTACAAAATTTTTACATTTCCAGGTCAGTAATATATACAGTGGAACTATACATCTATTGCTGCTAAAAATACTGTAAATGTAAATAGCAGGATAAAAATGGCATTAATGAATTCAGTAGTAAGACAAGCGGCAGCGGCAAGAACTAAGGTAAGAAGCGGCTGTAGGGATGGTCCCACCCGTCCACGGCTGCTGCCCACCTTAATGCCGCTATTCTAATCACACCACCACCACTTCCGATGTCTGCTAGCTGCCTCGCCAACACCACTGGTATTATTAATGTTTCGCTGATACAACTACCTCACGCTCATCACTCTCCACCATTACCAACCCAACATTTCAGTTATCATTATTACTAATGTTTACTCTAGCAGGTGTCAAGAAAAATTAAATGTATTAATTATTTTTTTAATGATGAGGTCAACCATCAGCTTGAGTGAAAGTGAGGCAAGGCGACGTGCAGTGTGCAAGTTGTAGTAGGGGTGGAGAGTGCGGGCCCTGTACAGGTTATGGGAGCATCTGAGGCGAGTGATGTGCATGCAGAAGCACATCACTTGCACACATTTAGCAACTAACAAAATTAACACTTTTTACCCGCAACATGCCATTATTTACTGAGGAAAACTACGTTAATTTAGTAACATTCGTTACATTAAAATTACAGTTTTCTGCCTTATATAAACTAAACTAAAATAAAATCACATTACAAACTCAAATGACTAATGCGGGTAATTAGCGAGTGATTATTGTGTAAGCTAAACAAGCACCAGAGTGGTTAAGTCACTTGTTCACATCACTGTTTACCTTCCTCCGTAGAGCAAGCGGGCGGCGGGGCAGAGACCGCTGCCAAGGGAGGCGTCGTTAGTTAGTGCTCCCACGCCCAAACCTCTCCTTTACCTTTCCCATTATCCACCCAAGCCTATACCTCCCCTCTATTTATCCATCATTCACCCACGCCCATACCTCTCCTGTACCTTTCCCATTATCCACCCAAGCCTATACCTCCCCTCTATTTATCCATCATTCACCCACGCCCACACCCATACCTCTCCTGTACCTTACCCATCAACCACCCACACCCACAACTGGAGTTCAACTGTACCCGAACATCCTCTACAGTTTACACTTAACTCCGCAGCCGTACTCAAGTGTCCTAAACACCATCAACTTCTCACGCCCACAGCCTCCTCCTACAGCAACATCCACAACCATACTTTTATTACTTTGTTGATATTCATACTTACAAAGGATAACCACCGTACAGCCGACCCAGGAAAGAATCAAACCAATATAGCAGTACTGTAGTAAGAGAAAGCACGCTATGCCGCTTCATCACTGACACCCACACTATCATTTATAACTAGAGAACTCGAATTCGAAACCCCATAATGACCGCCAATAATTTACACCCCCCCCCTCACCTCAATATACTCGTACACACCAAACTGTCAAAAACCAATACAGTACACACAACATATACACTCATGCCCACAATCCCCGTCCACGTGTACAACTAACCCTTACAAGCTAATCTACTGTACACCCGTAATTACTGTTACCCCGGCCCAACCAATACCTTCAACACGTCATGACCAAACCAATGCATTTATCACCTCACTCATCTCTTCACACCCGCCCCCAGCCATGCCTTCAGCCTTAAAGATGAAGAGCGTCTTCCTTAAGAAGAAGCCTAATTAATCCTAGAAGTGATCTGCCTACAAAAAATAACTAAATTTAAGTCATAATCTACACAGCCTATTTAATAAAAAATATTACAAATTTCTATCACCTACAAGGCTCAACGATAATAAAAGTAATACGAATAATTATAAAATATACTTGAAATGGTTTAAAAGAAAGAGATGTATGTGTTGAACTGTTGATGGTAGTGTAGCCACAAGTTGATGTGACGAGACGAGACAAACGATAGGGACGATACACAGGACAAGTCATCCACTGCCTCACACTACACACATACTCAGGTGATAAAACAACCCAGCACAACACAGAGAAGCATAAACACTACAGGAGAGAGGGGCAGCAGGAGCACCCACATCATCACAACATACAACACGCCCAACACCAGGGAACTGGACATCACAGTGATTAGCGCCAATGAGATGCAAGATGAGGTAGGGATATGTTGATGAAGGTGAACTTACCGTCGGGGTGAACAAGAGACTCGGGTTTAAAGATAACTTCTGATAACGGTACCATTCAGCGCCAGCCTGCCTCTCCTGTGTTCCCTAAACTTTTCCTATACATCTCCTAGTGGTGAGTGAGCCTGGGTCTTCCTTCCTGCCCGAAGTCAATGTATCCATTAACCTATTCCTACAAAGTCATTAGCCCTATGTTCTATTTCATATACATTATGCATACCATCAATCTATCCATATTTAATAGAATTTCCTTAAACTTACAATAGAGAAAAGAAGCCTTAAGCTATTCGGTGAGAAAGGAGTCAGAAGCAGCTCCAGTATCAACTAAGAGACAAATTAGTATTAAGATCAAAACAACTGCTTCGCCTCTCTCCCTAACGATACAACACCACACCTGCCCTGCTCATCCTGGTAACTGCACATGCCGGGGTACACTGCACCATCATCTATATCACACACACCCTACCGTCCTGATTAACCCAGAGAACATAGGGTGGCAGGTAATTTCATCAGGAGAGATGGGACACATTCCCGGTGCTGATGAGCACTAGCTAGCACAGGTTACCCCTCGCCTCCTCCCATCTCTTTTATAAGTAAATAAGTCTTTTCTAAGCATGTGAAGTATAGCAGCGAAATCGTCCGTCTAATATGACACAAATTATAATATATAATATATATATATATAATATATATATATATATATATATATATATATATATATATATATATATATATATATATATATATATATATATATATACAGTATTAGTGCGTTTAAGTTGATTCAGCTATTTGATGTCCCATTAGGTAAGAAGATTTTTACTTCAGGATCAAACGACAATAATAAACTTCCTACACCCAAGGGGAGTATTTATAACAAAAACTAAAGACTAGAGAACAATGCCAGCCTCCTACACACACCAATACATGGTGTCTTACATCACCATCAGCTAAAGAAACCAGGAGATGTAGATCCCTGTAATACCATTTCGTGTAATTCTACCATTTCGTGTAATTCTACCATTTCGTGTAATTCTGTCATAATAAACCTGTAATATAAAAATACCAGAGTTGATTGTATGCATTTAGTCATTACAGGTTAAAATTTAAAGGCAAACTCTGACCTCTGAGTAAATGTAAACCAGGCAAATGAAAGAAGTATTTACTTGGAGAACGTGAGCGTAGTGTCAGAATCTTTCCTTACACACCACCACCATCCCTCACCTTCCTGACGCCACACACCTCTTCTCCCATTTCGAAGGCTCCACGTTACACTAGTGCACCTTTTTAAATTGTCAACATAAGCTCAAATATACAGATAAATTCTAGGAGTATATTCAGGGGCCGGCCGGACAGTGTGCACACCAGGGACATATTAAACTTGGTGAATGATGCACATACAAATAATAACCAGCCATAAATCTTGGGTGTGGAAGGACCCCGGGTGGCGAGCGTCTCTGTACACTCCTCAGGGTCCCACCCACTCACACCCTGCACCTACATAGTTGAGACCAAACATCCATAATTTATTGTCCAACAGTTATAGTAACAAGGTATATTAGCAATCCTAAATATTATAGTGAGAGCGAGGATATAATAAGCGTATTCAAGTAATTCGTTTTAATCTAAGTAAAAAACATTGAAAATTTAACTTTTAAACAAGGAATCTTTCAATATCTACACGCTTTCCCCTTTGAGCTTATGAAAAAGGGTTTGCTTTCAATAATCCCGTATCTTTAGGTCAAGCAGTGCTAAAAATCTGGATAATGTTGGTTTTAAATTGTGAGGCGCACCCTATGCTACCTTGTTTAGGAATAGGACAAGCCTCGCCCATCAACAAGACCCCATCATAATTCTGCACACTCTCAGTCCTCACCCTCCACCGCCTGCTGTTGACCCACAACACCACCACCAGTCCCACAACTCGTTATTTCCAGAAATAAAGTTAATATGCTCGCTTTTCTTCTGGTTGGTGAAGGAGAGCGTATATAATGTTTATGAGCAGTGGGAAATAGAAGGGAAGCGTATATATGAAACCATCAGCAACTGCCATCCTTGGCGATGACACTGAAAACACAGAACATAAGAATGGAGGAAACTGCAGCGGGCCTATTGACCCATACTGGGCAGTCCCGTTTACACCCAACCCCTATTGCTCATATAAGCATCCAACCTATGTTTGAAGCTATTCAGCGTATTCGAGTTAATGATGATATTTGGTAACTTGTTCCATTCATCCACTACTCTGTTTCCAAACCAGTGTTTACCTATTTCACGCCTAAATCTAAATTTGTCTAATTTAAAACCATTGTTACGAGTTTGCTCCTGGTTGGATAGTTTGAGTACCTTTGTAATGTCCCCTTTGTTTAGCCCTGCCTTCCACTTATACACCTCTATCATATCGCCCCTCACTCTACGTCTCTCAAAGGAGTGCAAATAAAGATGCTTCAACCTGTCTCTATACTCAAGGTTCCTAATGCCCGGGATTAGTCTTGTCATTCTCCTCTAAATTCATTCCAAGGATTCTATATCCATTCTGTAATACGGTGACCAGAACTGAACTGCGTAATCCAGGTGTGGTCTCACAAGAGCAAGATACAGTTTTAGGATGACCTCGCTAGTCTTGTAACTAACACTCCTTTGTATGAACCCAAGTACTTTATTAGCCTTGTTACGAGCAAAAACACACTGTTTACTTGGCTTAAGGTTCCTACTTATCATTACTCCTAAATCTCTCTCGCAGTCGGATTTCTCTATGGCATCTTGTTCATCTGGTATCTGGTTTCCCTGTTTACATCTCCTATACTGAGTACTTTACATTTGTCGACGTTGAATTTCATCTGCCATTTTTCAGACCATTCGAAAAATTTGTTTAGATCTTCCTGTAGTTTTGCCGGGTCCTCGTCAGATTTGATAACACGTCCTATTTTAGTGTCATCAGCAAATTTACTTATGTTGCTGTCTATGCCGATATCTATGTCGTTTATGTATATAATAAATAATAATGGTCCAAGTACTGAGCCTTGGGGAACTCCACTTGTGACGTTGCTCCAATGAGACTTAGTGCCGTTAATGCTCACTCGCTGTTTCCTGTCCTGTAACCACGCCCTAATCCATTTAAGGATGTCACCTTTGATGCCATGAGCTTCTACCTTTCGAATTAGTCTTTCGTGGGGGACTCTGTCGAAGTATGAGATAATACCTTAACACAGTCAAGTCACACACTCCTTCCAAGAACATCATATTCATGTTCTTGCAAAGAAATCACTCGTCCATTGGATGGCAATGTTTATCCCTTTAATGCAAACAAAGTTTATTTAATTCTAATTTCTATACATAATTGACACCTTGTTCCCTCTAGTTTCTCCCGTTCCTTGAGAGCCATAAAGGCTCTCTTATAACGCGTGAAACATGTGTTGAAAAAACTGTAGATGCTAGCTTGATCTTGTTCATTTACTGAAGCGAGAATAAAGAAGCCTCCAGCATGGCTCTAATCACCATAGTTCTCCCAGGCGATGATGGATCATTGAACATGTTTGTGTGCATCATGTCCACCAACGTCTCACCTAAACTAGAACGTTTACGTCTCACCACAGCCAAAACAGCTCACAGTGCCGTCTACATTACAGTCCCTCACTTTTGTTCTTCCACATGACACGCACCCAAACTCGTACCTCCCGTCACATTACACCCACGCCCACACTCCGCCGTAATTCAAGACGATGTTTAACCACAAAATTATATATTCAGGATAACTAGGCATTTTTATCTCTTCTATCAGTCCCATCGGCATGCTAAACCTACGCGATATTTATATAAATCTCCACCCCACTGGACAGTGCTTTCTGATGACCATACAATGCTTCTACAATTTCTAATTATCCACAACTCCTTCCCAATCCCCATCAGATTCGTCACTTCCTGTCCCTTAATCGCTCTAAAGGTACTACTAAAGCATTAAGGAAAGGCGAGGAACAACCACAAACACTCCCAAGGAACCCTACTTTACTATCACACTTGACGCTTTCTTATTATTTACCACCACAAGTCAGGAACACTAACACTCCTATGTGCACACTTCCTGCTCTATAACAACAAAACAATGGCGTCTCAAATATATTTACACCACCACACAACTAACTTCACACCAACCTGCTGTAAAAATTGATTCATGGTTTCTTTCTCAACAACCAACTGCACTTTACAGGCAAACTTACTTAAACGTGCACAATTATATAATGACACATGAAGCACATTAGCATCTACTTTGAGGCGATGACATGTCTAAACTGCCCTTCTATATATCAGCCGACAACGATCATATATATATATATATATATATATATATATATATATATATATATATATATATATATATATATATATATATATATATATATATATATATATATATATATATATATATATATATATATATATTACTAGCTTAAACTTACCTCAATTACTCACGAGGAAGGAAAATTTAAGATCAACCGACTTAATGATCATACAGCGTCTCCTGGTACTGTGGTCAGGTATGGGTGTCCACAAGGTATATAAATGATGATGATGATAATGATGTTTATGCTGATGATAATGATGATTATGATAATGACACCAACAAAATAAACAATGGATCACAGACACCAACAATTAATCACACCAACAACACATAGGTGAAAAAAAAGAACAAATGTTTATCTCTAGCTGTACCTTAACGTGTTCCTACCTAAATATCGTTAAAAGAATTGAAGGACTGTTTAATGTTTCATTATAGATAACTACGCCCATTACCCTAAATACTAAGTATTCACTCTACAATCTGACACTAGTAAAACCTACAAGATTACAACTATTGAGTTATTATATCTTTTATCCTACAAACAAATTACCACAGGAGTTGACCCCGTATAGCTAATAATTATGAACCTTATTTAGTGTCAAGAATGGAAAACACCACAATACTCACACTTGATCTGTCCACATCATCCTCTCCTTTGCCTGAAAAAAAAGAGAAGAAATGGTTACTTAGATGAAGAAGTTCCAAGAATAAACATGATAATTCTACAATACAATACCTGTACTCTACTGTACAAGTACTGTATAGTGTAGAGTCTTGGGATGTTTGTGTATGGCCCCTGACTGAGCCCTCCTCCTCCGAAAATTACTGTCCCAACTGTCCTGCTACAATTTTCATTATTCGCAAGATTACATATTTCTGGTTAGTTGTGTACTTCATAACTTATACATGTACAGTCAGCCAAAGTTCCATCGACCCCACACTGGCTCTCATACTCGTAATTTTACCTGGCAATACTTGGTGAAGTAAGGCTCTATGGAATGGGGAATGTAATTGATGCATCTGTTTTCGGCTGTGTCACTGTCAGGATAAACTTTTCATTGTTATTTAAGAACATGACAAGTTTGCCAATGTTCATATATTTGCATAAATAATGAAGAAATTATATACTGTAAATGAATTTGCACCGCAACTACAACCAGGGCTAAGTTTTGCATTAGATGGATGGTCTAACATCCACAATGAGCCTATTACTGTATATGTGTTACTCTGACAACATAAAGTGGTCACATATATTTAGTTGACACAATGGACACATCTGGCCAACCCCATACTGCTGATTATATATCTTGAAGACCTTACAAAGTCTTCAATCCAGAAGTCTGAAGACGATTTTAGCTGTCATGTTGGTAGTGTCGTGACAGATAATGCAGCCACTGTCACCAAGATGCGAAAACAGTGAGAAGAATCAAGTGAACTGCACCTGCTGACCTATGGATGTTTGGCACACATTCTGAATCTTTTGGCTCATGACTTGGAAATTGATAATGAAAAAGATCATGTGGTTTATGTGGTAAAACATTTTAGCAACAATCACTATGCCTCAGCAAGACTATGCCTCAGCAAGACTATGCCTCAGCAAGGAAGGTGGTCAGCATCTTGTCATGCCCCAGGACACTTGATGGAACACCATGTCAGACTGCCAATTGTAATGAAAATCTGTGAAGTCGACAGGGAAAAGATTGATCTCTGAGTAAGAAACAAGGTGTCCAACCTTGTGTTGACGCGGTCTGCAGAGGAACTACTGGCTCGACTGGAGCCAATAGCCGAGACTAGATAAGGTACAGAGTGACAATTGCACAATTGCTGAAGCAGTTGATATTTGGAAAGGATTAAACACACGCTTAGGAAACACCCAGGAAGTGGCAAAAACAGTGATAAAAAGGTATAACCATGTCATCACCAAGGCTCACCTTCAAGCCAACATGGTCCATCCTTCTCTTCAGGGAAAGGCACTCAGTGAAGAAGTGAATATTGCAATGGAATATGCCAATGAGAAATACCTCTCAGTTATCCCCACCATCATGAAGTTTCGGGCAAAATCACCTCGTTTCCAGGCATTTAAGTTTACTGGCGCTGTGACCAAGACTGTATCAGCTATTGAATGGTGGAATTCTCAGGCAAGTGTTTTAGGCAGTAACATACCCTCATCAGTTCAACAACTCCCTTCAGCAGTAACCTCATCTTCAGGTGTTGAACAGAAAAAGCAGCAAAACTTGTTTTTTTTTTAAGCCTCTGAATGCACACATTGCTCATAGTTAGGTTAGGTTAGGAATTGTTGTGTATTGTAACAAAGCCTAAGAGACACTAGAAATTGATTTTTATACATATTAAATGTAATGTTGTATCCAAAATATTGCGATTCCGTTGGTTTTGCTTAATTTTTCCATATGCAAATTAGAAACAAGTTATCAGCGCCTTTAATATCTACCTACAACACCTACTTGTTTGAAGCATAGGTACTGTACAATACATGGGAACATGTAGACAAAGATAAGAAATGTGATGATACTCATCTGAAATTTGTGTTTGTTGTTTCGGTTACAAGTATACTGTATATTGTATCTTTTTTTGTAAGAACACTGAATAGTGAACATTGCAAAAGTGGAAGTTCCTTGTGTTGAATTAAATAAGCTTCTGTAATAAAGGCATATTTTGTTTCTGTCTGACTAGCAGTACATAGGCTATGCAAGCAGTTTTGTTTAGATTTCTTCCTTCCCTTTACGTGTAAAAATCAAATTATGATTTAAATCAATGTTTTTTTTAAGAAATCTTTTGATTTAAATCACGATTTAAATAAATGATTTAAATCATGATTTACATAAATGATTTAAATCATGATTTACATAAATTATTTAAATCAAACAACCTTGCACTAATGTGATGTTGGATTTAAAGTACGGGATCCCTTGGGAATGACCTCTCTCTGTACCACGAGCACAATCGCTGTATTTGTCCCCGGTCATGGTTTACTACTTCCTCCAGCCAGTTGCTACACAACAATGCTAGGGTGTACCTGTAGGTGTTCAGCGCCCCAAATACACCCGTGCAAGGTGATGGACAAGTGGGCCCGTCTAAAATAACTCTACCAAAAACTCCCCGTTAGTAGTGAGGGCATGTCAGGAATGTGTAGCCATAGGAAGGTTGTGGTCTCCGTTGTGAACTAACAACATCCTGCTCCGCCACTCGATATTCACTGATACGGTGTTTCGAAAACATATGGCAGACTCATCCAGCATAACCATCTCGCCTAACAATGTAGGTACTGTGATATGAACACAGGAATTTGCTACTGGTTTGCTGTTTAGGAATCTTGCTAACGTTTTCATTACTGAAAAAGAGTCGACTCTTGTTGTCACCTTTTTTCTTTCACGTTAATTAGGGAAACTCTTTCATTCCGTCATTCTGATTGATTTATCACTGACTTGCCGCTGACCATTAGCAAAAACAAAACAACTCGTAAATTGCCTAAATATTTCACGTGAGCGATATCTACTTCCAAGAGACCGAGGCTGGTGTTGGTGGCTAAGCAGACAGACAGACCACAAATTCATAAGAACATAAGAACATATGAATGGAGGAAACTGCAGCGGGCCTATTGACCCATACTGGGAAGTCCCATTTACACCCAACCCCTATTGCTCATATATCCTTCCAACCTATGTTGGATGGATATATGATAACTACGACATCTCTACAAATTTACAAAAAGCTTGAGGAGAAAGACTCGCGGGGCGGGTTGTTTAAGTCGATGACCAACTAGTTAAAAATAATTCGATATCTTCTCTACAGTGTGAAAACTCCAGAGATCCTCCAAGAACAACCTCGGCCACAGACAGTTGTGTGCTTCATCACTGGTGCCGCGGTGACGACGTGTATTCACATGAGGGAGTTGATCCAGGTGATGACGTGAGCGTGGCATGGACCACAGGTCAAGGCTGCCACACCACCTATATTAGGGTTGCCATATCTGAACATTCAAAAAAGAGGACGCTCCCGAAGACATCCCCCCCCCACCCGGCACACAGGCTAATATACAACATACATGGTATAGAAATCTAAAAAAAAAAAAAATACATTTGCTTAAGGCTGAACATCTTCATTCCCTTAGCTGCAGTCTTCTTCCCCCACTGTGTGTGTGACTTTATGTGCCCATGCATACTTTTCTGTAGATCGGATCTTTTTCAGTATTGGATGATTGCTCTTTAGAAAGGTATAGAAGTCACTGCAAGGTGTTTCTCGGAAGTTGTACTGTACAGTCAGAATGCCTTTCATTGTTTCAACACTCAATTTGTTCCTTTCCTTTGTCCATTGACTTTGCATCAGTGAAAAAACTCTTTCTACATTTGCACTGAGATGATATAGCAAAGAATTGTGCAATTCTTAGCAATTCTGAGTGGCATTCAATGTCCTTTGATTTTTCAAAGTATCTGGTCCACTTTTTATGTGTTGGCAGATTACGAAATTCTTCATCACTTGTAATTTTGCACAAACTGCTTCAGGTTACTAACTTGGTCAAAACACTTCATCAACTTCTACCTCCTTATCAATCAAATATTTGACAGCTAAGTTGACAACACAGTACAGGCGTACAAGTGACTTATCAGCTGACGAAAACTGAAAGATATCTCTACGGTTTCCACCTTCCCTCTCTTTCTCTCTCGTCATTACAGTTTCATGTTTTTTTTTTCCGTGGCGAAAATGATGGAAGCTGAAATTCCGGACTTTTGAAGAATTTTAAAAATTCCTTCCGGATGAAGATTTCGAGACCTAAATAGAGGACATGTCCGGAAAAATACGGACGTATGGCAACCCTAACCTATATACTCATGTCACAGGATGTAAGGGGGTGCCCAATAAACTAGCCCCCTTGGGGAAATAAACAAAAATAAATATATGTTCCACGTATCATCTCTCAACCATAACTTTCATTGTGCGTTTTACTCCAATATCAGATCCTGACATACAATCTTTATCACCTGATAAATTACAGCCGGCTTAGCTTTCAGTGTTAATATAAATCTACTTATTAGTAATGTAACCAACATCCACCAGCGAGTGTTTTAGCCACTCCCAAGACAGTAAGTTATACCATAACAAATTGATCTTGTAAAACAGTTTAAAATGAAATCTTATACACACAAACGCCTGAGATACGGCATTTAGGGTCTGAATACCACATACAAGACTAAGATACGCCTTTAACGACTGAATTACACGTTGACTGGTAACAAAACCTCGCTTCAAAATACTCTTCTCTGCCCAGTGAGTGACCCTGACTGCCTGAGTCAGGGAACACCAGAATGTTGTCCAAAGTTTCTGCTCGCCTACGTAGTATGTCACGCCGTCACCTTGATTATACTACAGGTTACCTCTGCATCACTATCCCCACCATTATTACACTCATTATTTGTTAAGCAATATTTAGCATCAGTAGATACTGAGTATATTAACAAAAAATAAACATGTAAACAAGTTTCGCGTGCTGAAGGTCAAGGACACACCCTGGTTGCGGTCGTTACTTATACAGGTTTATAGGATCGTAGATTTTGTGAACACTAACTCACTAGTAATTCACTTAATAAATTTTATGAAATGTAACTGAATTTCTAACTCTACTTTGTTTGTCAAACATAACAAG